ATATATATATTCCATGGAATGCATACTCTACTTAATTCTGGTATAAAACGCTATTCTGCCACAGAAACACGCACTTCAGTTAGAGGGAAGCTGAATTCGACAGAGAGAGGCAGAGAACTTGTGTTGAAAGAAGTGCTCACTACTGAGGCTCTATCGCCACCTACTGGCTGCAGTCAAAAAACGGGGTCTGTCTGCAAAACCAAAGGCTATTAACTCTGGTTTCACTTTACTCCTAAAATGTACTTTCTAGACAGTCTGTAAAAGTGATTACATAATAGCTTCACAAGGACCCTGAAACTGTCAAATGTCGAACAGGATTTGCGCGTCAAAAATATTTAATTTTGAAAATCAACATTCTCATGGATCCTGGGAAAAATGAACAAGAATTAAGAAAAATGTCTATTCTCAACTATTTTTACTTATGGACTGGGCAGAATGATTTTTAAAAAAAATAATGCCCAGGCTTTTTTCTCTGTTTACATGACTGGGTTATAGTTAAAGCACACATAATGAATAATTCGGAGTAGCTTAAAGCCTGTCAGTGGTAGGGAGAGGGGCCAGGCCATCTTCCTTTCCCATTTCCAAGCACTGTGCTATCATGATGTTGCTAAGTGCTGGGGAGTTGGTTCGGACTCAGAGACCCTGTATAGAGTTTCTGAGGCTGCAAATTCTTCACGGGAGCAGAAAGCCTTGTCTTCCTCCTGCGGATTGTAATGGTAAGCTTTTCCCAATTAAGACACCTCTTGTCTGCAGTTTAGAAATACAGGTGCATTTTGACACAACAGGCCCATTCTGGGGGCCCTTTGTTTTGGTGGGTACATATGGGATGACTGAGGAGGGTCCCCCACACAATTGATCTCTGGTCACTGCCACTATCCACAGATATGATGGCTGGCCTCCCACCAGGCACAGACCAACTGAAACAGGTTTGGGAGGGGAGGGGAGCTGTGGCCAGACACCACAGGTATCCTCCACCCCCAACAAACCCAGGCTTCAAAAGTGGCCACAGATTGCGACTTGTTAGGTGGTGGATATTTTTATACTTTGTTGGTTGAGCATAATAAATATCTGAAGTTGGAGAAATGAAGAGTCTCTACAGCATGTAAGCAGACTGGCAGACTCGCGGCGTTGAAGAGCTTAGGTTTGTAAAGAGGATTCCTGTCTTCGTATGCCAAGGCCAAAGCCAGCAGCCCGGTGCCACAATTTCTCCAGTGCCTTCTCCAGTGATACTGCACCTCGTACAAAATAATCACTCTGTTTGCCGAAGACTAATATCTAGAATTGTTTGTTTGGCTTCAATGAAAAGGAGGAATATTGCTAAATATGTTAAGTATGACATTTTCAAGAATTTACCATCTTGCCTGGTCTGGTGGGAATTCGTAAGGAAATTAACAACCATGACACTCAGCAGATTTGATCCTTATGAAAGTTCTGTCTTGAACGATTACTCACGTAAAACAAAAATAAACCAAGGAGAAATTTAAATGAAACCTATGGATTACAAGAGTTTGAAGATAAAAAAAAAAAAAAAATTAAAAACCGCACAATATTCTAGTGTTGGAAAAAAATTGATTTAGCATGCAGCTTCTCTTTATAGTCCCTTGATAAAAATGAAATCTCCCTAACAAATGCTTAATAAAACCTGTCAATATCTCTGGGAAGAAAATGACACAAATGCATTAAGTATTAAATACCCTTGGAAAAAGTCACATATTCCATGAATTTTTGATGTACTATCTTGACATTAATGTAAAACCTTGATATTTATAATTGACAGATATTTAATAAAGTATAAAAGAAGATGGCTGCTGTGTGTGGCATGCAGATTTCTCAGGTTGATCAGAAAGGCGAGATACAGACGTGTACTTAAACTAGATAAACAGTTCATGTGTGCTACACAAATCAGCTGCCGTCTTATTTTAAGCTCAGACAACAAACCTTTGTGGAGAACCAAAATGAGCAGGACTCGTTATTCTGTGAATTCCTAATTCAGAGACATCGAGAGCGGGCAACTGCTCCAAACAAGAGCAGCTTTGCGCAGAAACAGATATATTTCAGTCCGCTGTTTTTGAGTGGCTGTTTTGGTTGTTTTTCATATTTAACAATAGGCAGCAGTTTTTTTTTTTAAATAAAAGACAAGCACTGCCTGAAATATCCAATATTTCCTAAAACAGTTTTCACAAGAAACATATTTAACTTACAAGAAAGACTCAAGTCTCGCTGTAGAAGGGAAAAGATTAATGAATGTCTTCTTTCATGGGCACGTATCAAAACCAGACCTTCACATTTCTAAAGAACTCTCATCCGATTGAAAATAAAAAGAGTTGAATACATTAAGTAATCACCTTCAACGAGGCGTCCAAATTTAGGAAAAGTTTCTCCGTTCATAAAAACGACTACATGCTGAATGCTAAACCATTTTTATCATGCTATAATTTATAATCAGTTGTCAA